ACACACACACTGTATACTCACACACACACACACTGTATACTCACACACACACACTGTATACTCACACACACCGTATCCTGAAGGATATGGACTGCTTCATCATGTCCCATGCCAAGCGGGACACTTCTGGTCAGCTTAAGACCTTTAAGATGTTATTTTGATATATTTACCAACAAGCACTCTCTGGTGAACCAGCAGAGGGTGAATACAGGTAAATTCAGACAGAAGGTACGATATCTAAATGTAATGTGTGTTTTAACATTAAAGCATTTAAACATGTTCTAGTAGAAACCCAGAATATAAAGATGAACCTGAAACTGAGCATGATGTGTAAATGTATCATCGTCCTCCTCATGTCAGCACTGAAGCTCTGTGTGCTTGAGTGTGAGGTTCACCAGGGAGTCGAGGCCTTCTGGACTGACCCAGGAGCAGTTATTAAGACGCAACAGTGAACCGTTACCGGATAGATGCTTGTTCTCATTTTGATGGAGAGCTGTAGTACTAACTTCCTGGCAACTGGTAACCAGCACCAATAAAGAGTCCAGCAAGCTGAGGTTTTTAAAAATTAATACAAAATTGATCTATAGTGCCTTTTGGATATGAAATGTAAAGTACACATGCTGTTATAAAGTACTTCACACCCATCATTTCATCCGCTTCATGGAACAATATGACTTCCATTGTGTTGAACATTGGTCCAGTCATTCGTGTCCCCCTGAGGAGGAGTCTGCTGTCACTAGCCTGCCTTCAGCAGGCTGACTGACACACACATTTACTGAACTCAAAGAGCTCTATGTGAAGAAATCAATGTATGTATTGATTGATTGATTTTATTCCCTTCACTCACCGTAGTGAGTGAAGGGAAACACGCGCTCAGAGACGGACTGAAAGTCTTCATCAATCAATTTAAAGACGGTAAATGAGTTCAAAACACTAATCATATCATACATACATATACAGATAATTGTGTGATTTAAACAGCTGTCTGTGCAGATTGTGCTTCACTAAAATGAAATGAAACGTAGTGGGGCTCCGTCATACGTGCCATGATGCATTAATATAATGGAACCCGATCTGCTAAGACACCCGAGTGTCGGACATCAAACATGCTTTTAACAATGCTTTCATTGGGGATTGGAGGCTGAACATCTGTAATGATGGCAGAGGACTCGGCCACAGAGAGAGAGAAACCGTGTCCTAACAGCAAGCATCGTGATACGTCAGATAAACAAACCACGTACCGGTCACCTTAAGATTCAATTTAAATTCAATTCAATTTTATTTGTGCAGCCCAAAATCTCAAATCTCAAATTAGCCAGAGGGCTCTACAATCTGTACAAAATACAACATCCTCTGTCCCAGGACGCTCACATCGGAACAGGAACAAATCCATCGAAAGAAACCTCAGGAGAGCAGCAGAGGAGGGATCCTCTCCCAGGATGAACAGAGCTACAATAGATGTCATGTGTATAAAATGAACAACATAATAGAATTACAACACAGTCGATCCATAGGGCACAGATGATACATATAATGCACTAATAATAGCAGAAACACTAGGTAATATCTTATAATACAGCCCACGACTTTTAATGTAATCACTGTGTAAGTCCCCTGAACTTCATGTGTGCTATCGTTGTATGAATCACTACATATACACACTGCAGGTTCCTACTGGGACATACAGCAGAACAAGGGAGGGACAATTGGGAATGTTAGAGGAAAGAACGAATAAGTTCTACTGTAAGTATTTTAGTAAGTACTGGGTACCTACAGGGTATTTTAGAGAAAGGGAGAAATGACTTCTACTGTAAGTGCTTTGTAAGTACTGGGATACAGTTCTGGTAAACAACAATGACATCCTGCAGTACTTGTTAAGTAATAAAGGAATAACATATTTCACAGGAGTAATGTGTTACCAAAAGGTACGAGCTACACTCCAGATATGTCTTGTGTTTCTCCTTTATTGTGATGTCACTCTGTACTTTACAAACCTTTCTCACGTGCACAGATATGTGAGGCTTGTATTTTTGTACATTTTACGTATTGTAATTACGAAGTAGCAACAAGGTCTGTGCTGTTCTCGTCTTCTTACTCTTACACACACTGTGAGATCAGGCCACGGGCTGCCTTATAAATAAATGGTATTAAACATCAAGTCTGCAGTTGTAAATGTTCATTAAAAAAGAGTCACGGGTTTAAACTTCTAGTCAGCAAAAGCAAAAGCAAAAGTTAGTGAATCATCTGATTATAGATGTTAGTAAGGCTACATCCACACTACGACATGTTCGTTTGTAACAAACAAAAACAAAACAAAAACGATCTCCGTCCACACGGCTGTTCATCACCGTTCACCATCACATGACTATTCACGTACACAGGGCATACGGGTGGAAGTAGGAAGTAGATTGGTTGCTTAGTTAAAGAAAATACGACATTGTATTATAGTAGTCTTTAATAATAAAAGGTCGCGCTTGATACTTAAAATCGTCCTCTATAAACAGAGTTAGAAGTTGTACATAGTTACTTACTTAACTTAGTTACATGGCTGCAGGTCTTGCTCTATCTCTCTCACACACACATCAAATATACTTCAAAATGAATACTTACAAATCAAACAATTTTAGATTATGGTTCCATAAATGTGGTCAACACACGTCTCTCGTTTCCTCTCGGTGTCTTCGTTATCTGTTCTCACTCGTAGCTCTGCTGGTGGCTGAAGTCTCTGTTTACTGGAGAGCATTTACTGCTTAGTTTCTATGCAGACTTCACAATAGATGTGCAGAACAAAATAAGCATTAATAACAAAAGGAAAGTCCTCCGTTTTGTGTCCATCGTCCTCCCTAAAGCCTCTAACCGCGACTTCAGACGGTCTGATACTCTGTAGGCCGCTGGACACATCGCTCACTAACCGCTCCGATAACAGCTGCTTCCTCCGCATGCTGGCATTAGTAGAATTATAAAATGCATAATTTAACTGCACAACAGCTGCTAGTAAAGACAACAAGGTCAGCAACGCCTGTAATCAGTTGTCCATGTTGAATTAACCTGGTAGTCCATCGGTAATCAAGGCTGCTGTTTGTTTTCTTCCGGAAATGGGTCACGTGATCGGGTCCTGACCAATCAGGGAAGGACTATGTAGTGACTGCTAACAACCAATCAAGTAGCGAACGCGGGAACTACGTCATGGTTTCTAACTTCTCAGGTTACGCCGTCCACACTAAGAAGTATCCTCGGAGCTTTTAAATGGAACTGTCTGGCCTAGTGTGGACACTCGGTGTAAACGTAGCAACAGATATGCCTTTTAAAATGGAGACGTAGTAGTGTGGACATGGCCTAAGTCATGAATAAATGGTTCTTACATTGATACATCAGTCTGCAGTAGGACATATTTTGACATGACACAAGTGTAGATAATAAACTAAATTATGGCTGAATCCCATGAAGCTGCTTCAGGTTCAGGTTGCTGTCGCTCACTGAACCCAGAATGCAGCCATGATATCTGATCGTAGTAGTAACACCTGTGCTCTTCCTCTTCTGACAGAAGTCAGAATGCCTGCCTGACCAGATTACTGGCACTCAAAGCCATATTAAACCAAAGTCAGCCAGGTCTCTAACATTATCCTGAATACAGAAACATCTTATGGTCCTCCTCTACAGGTGCACCAGAAGAGCCAAAGTCTGACCCGGCCGACTCCAGAGATCGAGGCCACGACCGCGGACGCTCCCACGAAAGGAAACACCACTCCTCAGCGGATAAGCAGCGCTACTACTCCTGCGACCGCTACTGCAGCCGGGAACACTGCCACACCAAATCTGCCACCGCCAGCTGTGCCGCCTCCCCCAGCGAAGGGCAGGAACCCAGCAACAAGCAGGTGGGAGGGCAGGGCACGAAGAGTAGGGACAGACCAGGCAATGAACCAGGGGAAGGGGATTCTCACAGGCTTTGTAATGAGTTTGGAGTTCATCTGACAGTGTTTACTATCTTTGATTACTATCTTCCATCAGATAGAAAACTCCTTTTAGATGAAGGAACTGTAGAACTAGTATTCATGTACACCTGTGGAACCTGATCAAGCCTTTAGGTTGAGGCCTCTAGTGTCATGGCGGCATGGCAGGGTGACGTGTATCGGTAGAAGAACAGTCTGTGCAGAGCCAGCGGTGATTAGACTAAAGATGTGGAGACAATTCAAGATGACGAGCTTATAGCTGATGTGAACCTCATCACAGTTTAACAGCAACACTTCACTTCACCGCTCACATCCAGGAGCCTCCAGACAAACTAGAGCTCTGAGGACCAACACCTCAACCATCGTACTAATGTGTAGTTTGTTAAAGTCTTATTGATTAATCAGTGAACTCAACTAAATGTATTTTCATTGAATAATCAAAAACAGTTGAATCATTAAAACAAAAGAAATGTATCGCATTATTCAGCAACGCTGCAGGAAACGTAAATGTGATGATTATTGGTGCGTACTATCGAGCTCCATTAACAACCGACATGAACACACACACTGTAGATTATTGTGACTCAGTCACACACTAACCAGCACCAGATTCAATTAATCCACCGCTCAGAATAGTCCCAAACAGATGCACTACTTCCTTTGTGTGAGTAACATTTGATAAGAACTGAATCACTTGTACTCCACAGGTGGCTCCTGTATGAGGCCTGTTGTTGGTTTCATGTGATTTGTTAACATTAACAACAAAGTATAACACTGACCTTAAGCTTTGTGTTTAAAAGATTAATTAGTTCACTTCACTCGTAATTTCAACATCTCTTGAATATTCTGATAATATTCCTACAGGAACTTAAAAGCAAAGTACTTCATACAAAGTACTGATACTTTACACAACTTTACCGTTAGTTCAACATTCTGCACATACGTACGTCTATTTCTTTATCTTCTGATTCTTATCTGTCTCCTGTTTTGTATTTATAGCCTCTGATCAGTTTGAGATGATCACATCATACAGTAACATACATACAGTACATTATAATATGAGATCAGTTAAACACTGTGTCCAGATAACTGAAGGGATCCGTCTGCCTGTTGTCTGTCAGACGGTCAAAGCTGAACAGTGTAGGTTCAGTGTAGTGAACTATCAGAATGAGCACAGATCTCTACCGTGTCTTCACTGTGAAACTAGAGGCCTCAGGGTTCCATGGAGCAGCATGGTGGAGATGCTCTCATAGGATAGTACTCTGTGCTGCGATCCCTCTGCATGCTCCTACTACTATCTCCTCTGTCTGCCTTTAGTGCAGCTTCTCATGGCCTTTCACTTCTTTTCCCACTTTCTCTTTTCATCATTCTCCGTCCATTTTGTCTATCGGTCATTATCTTTCCATTGGTGCTTGTTCTTTCATTCTCTCTTCTCTGTCTTATTTGTTCTCTGTCATCTTTCATGTCATCACATATACATGTTGGTATCTTTCCTTTCCTTTCCTACCTCCGGCGGCCCTGTCTCCTTCCCTTTTCCTTTCCTTTCTTACATCATTTCCTCATCGTTTCAAATTGCTTGTCCAATTTTCATCCAGGGCAGTGGTTGGGTTAAAGGCAGCCCAGTGGCACCGAGTTCCACTTCTAGCACGCCGAGCCGAGGACGTCGGCAGCTCCCCCAGACCCCCCTCACCCCGCGGCCTGGGGTGGCCTACAAGACTGCCAATTCATCCCCTGTGCCCTTTGTGTCCGGCCAGGCCTCTCTGAGTCCTGGCCGGCTGAGCCGCGGCCTGTCGGAGCACGACGCCCTCCGGCACAGCACCCACTACTTTCCCTGCCCCGTCACTCGTATCAGCTCCGAGCCCTTCCTGAGCCGGGGCCACGGCGAGGCTCTGGGCAGCCTCTACGGCAGCCTCCGGGACCAGCTGGACGTCTTTCAGGATGCGTTGTCACTGACGCCCAGCCCCCGTGCCGGGCGCTCATCTCGGACCGCACTGCCTCGCATGACGGAAGCCCTGCTTCCTGCTGCGCAGCAGAACCTCGGGGTGCCCAACGGGTACCACTTCAGCTTCGGGGGAAGCACCAGCGCAGGCTCTGGTCTCAGGGCACACAGGTATTACCAGGAGGCAGAGGAGGACGAATGGTGCTAGCATGGCTTTAAACCAACCTTTTGAATGCATTTTGAGGAATTGTGATGAGTTTTATCATCTTCTTTAAAGGCTTTAGTTTACATGGTCAGTGTGTGTTTGATGCTGTATTTGTAATCCTAACTTGGAGAGCTAAGGTGAGCGAGAACATCTGAACAGGGAGAAAGCTTGAAGTGGGTCATATTAGAACTTTTATCAAGGGGCACGTAGCATTATGACACAGAACAGAATGTCTTACAGTAGTTTCCTTTATTAGCTTTGACTTCAGTGTTTGGTTGACACACCATATTAACCCTCAAACAGCATTATATCACATACAACTACACATTAATATGACAATGTCTCCTGATGTTGGTAGAAAAGGGAAGATCCCAAGAAATGTTTGTATGAAGAAGATGAAGTGCCAGAGCTGCTGTGTGTCTGTGTTCCAGACGAGAGGAACATTCAGACCATGTTTCTCTTCAGGGTCATTGGTCCTGACTACTGACCAGTGAAGCTTTGTTCACTTTAAAGCACACAATGAGGCTCTTAAACGCCACATGCTGATTTGGTCTTAACATTCTTCAGGGGCGTCTAACATTTAACCATTTGGCTTCATTTTACTAGGTAGCACCCCAACCTGTTAATACAACATTGACATATTATCCCCTTCTGAAGTTGATCAGCTTATGGCCCAGATCACACCCTGATATCCGCATGAAAGTTAAAATATGATCAACTTTTCAGCGCCAGACGCCGAGTCACACCGCTAGTCAACGGCCCAGGCAGCCAATCAGATCAAGCAGAAGGCGGGCTTTACTACTTTACCACTGTACACGCCCCTATCATGTTAGGTTGCCTAATCACAGCAGACTCAGGCAACATTAGCATCCATTTGGAGTGGTGTTTCTGACCACCTGAGAGAGTAAGTCCAGGAGTCACCTTTTAGCTCTGGTTTGGTCTCTTGAGCTGCTAAACGCTGCACTAAGTTCACCAGCTGGTCTCTGACTGTCTGTCTGCTGTTTGCAAAGCTGCCTGCTGCTGCTGGGAACCAGGTTGGTGAGAGCGCTTACTGAATCTAAACTGTGACATGTTGTGTTGTCAAACCAAACATTCAGCTGAAAGTTGCTGAAACACTCCGTAGGCTAACGTCAACTGCAGAGTTGATGATGGTTCTCAGTAGGTTTGTCTCAACTGTCAAATTACACATTTCTCCATTGTACATATAGAGATGATGATTAGTGCAGCTTTGACTCTTTATAACTTATATATATCTATATATAGTTCTGTTTACCTCCATGCTACAGCGGGAACACAGCCCCTTTGACTTGGACTGCTGCACTCTGTGCACCACATACACAGTAATGGAGGAGCACATGCAGGAGCCCTTTCTTCATACGGCTAAAGACAACACCACACTCAATTTGAGCTGTGCTCCGTCAACTGGTTACAATGTCACCTTCTTTCACATTATTATGACAGCCCAGAGCACAGCGTACTGTATAACAGGCCTCTTTAAGCTGTAGGTGGAGTTAGTGACTGATGGTTAGAAAAGAGTTTGAGAGTCAGTATGGTAGTTTCAACAGGAAGTGAAGGAAACGGCACAAACGGAACAGTTCAGTGAAAATATGTATTACAATTTTGGAAAACCTCTCAGACATAACACTGTAGGAACAGCTGTGTTGTCCTTCAGTTTAGGACTCTACCATTCCGTGATGATGCCTAATTCTTTATGACATTCCCTTTGTGTCAGTGGAACAGATGAAGTGCTGTCACACAAGCAGCGTTAATTGTTTTGCCTGTTTTTACATGTGTTTTGCAAGCTTCAAGAGAGAAGCAGCGCATAGTAGGAACGAGTACTTACTCATTTGATTTCTATAAAACGTCCTGTAGATGTTCTCTTTTCATCGTGTGCATCTTTTATACGACGTAAAAGCAAAGATATGTTTTATGTGAACTGCTTCCAGGTTGGCCATCGTTTCAGGTCTAATGTTTCTTACAGACTTTCTTGGGGATGTTTTAAGACGAAGTGCCTATCCTTTTAGATATACTGTAGAAAAGGTGCAACGTCGACTGTTTTCTAATGCATCCACCCTGGAGTAGATGTTTGGTTCATTCCGTAAGGTCTCATTAGTATGCACAGACCTCTGCAGCTTTCAAAGACACGAATGGAAAAAGCATCTTATGAAAGTCCATTATCTTTTTCTTGTTTTTGATAAACCATAAAATCATGTGTGGGTGGAGGAGCAAGAATCGACATTATGAAAACACTATGCGAGCATTTAACAACTATGTAAACTGCATAAATATATGGATCCAGTTACGTTAATGCCAGTAGCACACTGTGCATGTTCAGATAGACCTGGGCTGTTGTCACAATGTGACGATGTGAGTCTTCCAAACTCCTGTGTTGTTTGGACTGAACATTGTGTGTTAAAGGAGTTAAAGCGTGTGTTCACTGTGATTTTACCCAAGTAGCAAAGGGGGTTCAGTCTGACTCCTTACGGTCATTGTCCTGTATGTGTCGGTATAGTATGTGTCATGGAGTGGCGTTTCTTTTTATACTCATGCATAACTAGCAAAAAATAGATGTTTTAATATCATTCAGAGCTATTTCCAGCAGCTACTGTATCACGGAGTCTGGCAGCGACTAACTGCTCCGTCTACAGCAGCACAACACAAACCACAACACAGTAGCATCATTAGCTTTGTCCATATTCTGTGGAATTGAATTAACAATAATTGGCAATTTGGTTCATCATTTCTAATTAGTACAAAATGATAAAGTACATTGATTTATATTATATTATCTGCAAAAAAAACAGACTGCTGGACACTGAGGTAAGAGCTGGTTCCATGTAGCTAAAGAATTGTGAGGTGGACTGAAGAGGACATTCTGCAGTTTGAAGTCAACGTGTCAGTGCTCTCTGGTGGACAGACTGTGAATGACATGCTGATTCTGTTTTATATCAGTCAGTGTGTCCCAAGTACATGCTGTGTGTTGTAATGACACAGCTAACATGTCCACCAACACGTTTGATTGAAAACAAGAAGTTCATGCCTTTTGATGGGGCGTGTTGGTAAATGTAGGATCTCTTTAGAACTGAAGTCCTGCAGCAGGAGGAGATGCTGGAGATGGTCTCGTGGGCTCAGCTGTATAGATAGCGTTAAATCCTGACTCTCCAAAAGATAAATTACAACACAAATCAAGAAACAACACCTGGAATGTGATCGATATCTAACAATGGTCAGAAGTGGATCTGACGGTACTGAAGAGTGGATCCTACTGCCCAAACCTGCCTCTGCTTCCAGGTTGTAGGAGGACATTCTGCAGCTGTCTCAGAGCTCAGGAGGACTGCTGCTGCCTGAAACTTTAATGTCAACATGAGGGACAGACGTGAAGCTAGCAGCAGCTGACTGGCCTGAAGGTAGTGGAGGGAGACAAGAGGAGTGGGGCTATGCAACCTGACAAACCCATATCTCCATTCATTCTGTAGCTTTACATGCCGGTCTCTGTAGATTCAGGCTTCAGCATGATTGTGACCAAATGTTTTATAGAAAATGCAACGAAGGACATGCAAACAAAAAAACACTTCAAATGTGCAACGGCACATATAAACAAGAAACCGATGGGATATTTAGGATCACAGTAACTTTCACATATATTTGCATGCATAACATGACAACATGAAATGGAGATCCCATGGCTCACAGTGGGGGGGGGGGGGGGGTCCTGCTAGGTTACAATAAAGGCTTTTTATAGATCAACCTTGTAAACTGTCAAAGTGATTCTTTCTCTCAAAGACAGGAACGTATTCTTCTGCAGATGTTCTGCAGATGAAAAAGCAAATCTAAACATTTGTACCTTCTTTAACTCTGCACTCTCTGTACTGAGAGGAAGCGTACCTGCGCCCGAGTCTGGACCAACCGGCCGCCAAACATTAGGATCAATCCAGCTGCTTTAGTTCTGCATATAGGCAGTGCAGATGTGGCTTTTACAACAAAATACAGATGTTTGCATGTTCTGACAATGTATGTGCATGTAGAAGACTTCGTACTTTTGGATACCATGTGTTATTTTGTTGTTGATTTTTAATATTTGATATAAACTGTGGGATTACAAACAGTATTGGACATTGTAGACAGCAGAGCTGGAACATTCCTTTATTCGGCTCTTGGGATTCAGTCAATTGTTTCTTTGCTTGATTTTATGTTTCTTGGCCAGACTTTGAACTCTGCAGTTGTTTCTACATTAAACATTTTGTATGCAGCAAAGCTCCTTGAAATAAATAAGAATGAAACACATCTGCCTCTGATTAGCTGGATGGTTGAGTGTTGCAGCTGGTACACTGTGCACATGTAACCTGCTGTTCTGAGCCGTGTTTAACCCACTGAAGACATGCTGGAAAGCTCCAGAAAAAGAAGCTCGTAAGTCGACCTCGAGGTAAGATTATTAACTATTGTTTGAATGTCTCTGCTCATTTGATGTATTGTCTTTTGTTTGACAGACATGTTAAAGCAGCAAACACACCTATACATTCAGCAGACCTTCATTTGGTGTCCACCTGCTGAATCTCATCCAGACTTCACTCTTATTAGCTTTTTGCTCTCCACTTCTATGTTCACCAGCTGTTCTCCAACATCTACCATGCTGGGGGGCACGATGAGTCAAATTGTCTATGGTAACCAATATCTGTTGGGGTTTATTTGTCTCCAAACTGGGTTATTTGCCTTTTATAAATTTCAACTCAATGCATCAAATGAGGCTTATAGTAACTGCTGTAGTTACAGACCTCATTCTACATCATCACTGACAGTTGTAGATTTCGATTTTTGACATTTACTGATCAGAGATCAGACTCTCAGTGAAATGTGCGACAGTAAATGCAGTGTGCGATATAGACCTGGTGAATACAGAGTGACTTGGGACAGTCTGGAGGAGTCTCATTGCTTCAGGTCACACGTATGAATATCCTGATTACTAAAATACACAAGCATTTATTTGCCATTTTCTCTTTAACTTTATTGGGGTTTGATGAAGTAAACAATGGCCAACGGTTGTATTTTGGGTATTTTGCATGTTTGCTGTGATGAAGCTCTTTATGGGTGTCCTGTGATCAGCAGGCATTAATAGTTGGAAGAATAGGAATAATAGAAGAAGAAAGAGTTTATACAACAAACTTGCTAGCTTCTTTTCACAATCAATCAGTGAGCGGGTCACCAGGTGAGAATCCTTAAAATGATTCACATTTTACTGTTCAACTCTGTACATAGAATGCTGCTGTTATAAATGCAGGTATGACTGAGCACTTAAAGGAACAGTGTGTAACATTTAAGGGATTTATTGGCGGAAATGCAATATAATATTCATAACTATGTTTTTATTAGAGTATAATGACATGAAATTAAGAATCGTGTTTTCGTTAGCCTAGAAAAAGTAAGTAAGATTTATTTATAAAGCGCTTTTCATAGACATTAGTCACAAAGTGTTTAACAGAGCAGAATTACAAACATAAAAAACACAACATGACCAACAATATACATCAGGAATGCACAAAAACAGAAAGTACAAACATAAAACATGGTTTAAAAGCAGTTCTAGGACATGAGTTGCAGGCAGGTCATTCCACAGCCTCGGTGCTACTGCCTCAAAGGCTCGGTCACCACAGGTCTTAAGGCGAGTGCGTGGGACTGACAGAAGACCTAACACGTCTGACCGGAGGGTGCGGGCGGGTGAATACGGGTGAAGTAGATCAGCTGCATAAGTAGGAGCCTGACCGTGTAGTGCTCTGTGAGTGAGGGTGAGTATTTTAAAGTGTATCCTAGATGCTACAGGGAGCCAGTGGAGAGATCGGAGTATGGGGGTGATGTGCGACCTTCGATTTGTCCTGGTGAGTAATCTGGTGGCAGCGTTTTGGATTCCCTGCAGACGGTTAAGAGCAGATACACTGAGTGACGAGAAAAGTGTGTTACAGTAGTCGATGCGAGAAGAGATGAATGTGTGTATGATCATCTCTAGTTCAGCTGTTGATACTACAGATCTGTTTACTGATATTTCTTAGGTGAAGAAACAGGATCTGGACAGCTGCTTAACATGGGGGTCAAACGACATGGATCGATCACAATAACCCCTAGATCACACAGGTTGCAATGGGCAGCAGAGGAGAGTGGACCAATACTCTGCCAAACTCATCTGATGCAATAACTAGAACCTCCGTCTTACTGTCGTTGAGTTGTGAGCAGTGGCCTGCTGCCTAAAAATGGGGTTACACATTGACACATGGGTCAATAACAAATACAAATAATAATTAATACTACAGAGTTTATTGTGATTATGTTCATGTTATGGGCCAAGTTGCAGTCTGAACATATGGGGTTTCAGTCTGCAACAGTGACATCATTAATAGTAGTCACTTTACTAATAATTAATTGATTTACATATTGATGCATGTATTTATTATTTCACTATATTGATCCCTCTGTCAAAATATGTGGACCTGAAGAGTTCGTAACTCTGTAAAATATTTTAACATAATCTAATAAGCATTAAGAATCAGAATGACTAACAAGGAAGGGGTGTTTTTTATTAATTTATTTTGAAACATGTCATTCACAGATCACAGTAGCCGGTAAACTAGCACAGCTTGGTGTTTAGGATGTTTCAAGGAAGTCCCTGAAGGCAGCATGGGTGCACCTGAACCCATCTGTTGACAGTGCGCGAGGCATCCTCAGCTACAAGTGAATGGCGGTCAGCAGGGTTGTGTTTCCCGCTCTGTGAAACAGTTATCAAACGGAGACTCGTGGATTTCGGTAATAGTATCGGTGAAGTGTTTATCCATGCGGAGACTCCCGGGGCTGGTTCATTAACGTCAAGCTAACCACGAGTTTGACTGCCGTTAACGTGACCCCTGCTGGTGGTGGATTACAGTGGTTGTACATCAAATGTAACGTTAATGCTGGACACTTTACGAGAAGACACGGTTTGCAAGGTAACGTAATGTCAGCTTCATATCTCTTTCTGGACGTCAATTAAGTCCCCGACAAAAAACGTGTTATCTTTAAAATAATGTTTCTGTTACTTCGAAAGGAAGCTCGGCTGTTAACAATGGTGTCGGTTGTGTAGGCCTCAAAACATGCCTCGGTCTAAAGTTGGGATATAAATCCGCCAAAACATTACTTCGAGCCAGTGACGCGTAGGCGAAGTAACGTTATCCGCTCCAGCGAGGGGCTAACCCGAGCGTCACACCGGTGTTTACCACTTGTGTACAAAGGTACAATAACGAGTATGTCGTTACGGTTGTGTAGTAAGCTAGCACCTCCTGCTAAAGTTATATCGACCGACTAAACTATGTATATGGACAACCAGTTCACATGTGGCCACGTTAACACCATCAATTAGATTAGCCTGTTGATGAACACTGCGTCTGCAGACTAGATGACAGCTTCATAGCTAGCTGTGCTGTGCAAACCACCGACATGTCTGCTCACATTCCCCCTGAAGTTAGACTCAATGAGCGTTACTTATGTTGCTCAGATGTGCAGCAAATCTAGGCAAATGGTGTGAAACTCTTCTCTCCATATCTGGCTATATTGTGTTGATATATAATCACATCACAAGCACACCTGTATTTACCAGCCAGGATCACTTGCTAGCTGCATCTATACCAGCACACCCTGTCCATCCAGCTCAGCTCTCCTCTCTCACACTGCTCCTGCAGGGCTGGGTAACAGACATGCACCCACCAGCTCGACAGGACTACACATCTGTAAGCGTCGCTGGACAAGGAGGTGGAAGTTACAACAACAGCAAGCAGTGGAGGAGGCAGTCCTGCTGGAGGGTGAGTGGCATCTCTGAGCTCCTCACAAGAGCACTTCTCCTTCTTCTCTTGTCTTCCAGTGCTCTTGTTTGCCCACTCTGGTGTTCCTCTTGTTGCCCGTGCTGGATTTATTTTCTGATATTTGCCAACAAACGGAAACAAACATCGTGGTTCTGAAATGCAGAGTTGGGTGCTTATGATGAAAGTTTACTTAAGATCTGCTCTTTAAGGGTCGGGTTATTCAAAAATAGTGTCAATGCAATGAGAATGGATGCAGAAGTATTGTCTATGATATGCTATAATTCCAATTTGGAGTTTACATTTATTTATTTGTTATTCCGTGTATTAGACAAATAGATAGAAATATTGTATTTTTGAGATGCGAGTGCATTTCCATTTAAAACATGCCTGTTCAGAGCCCAATGTTTGGCCTCTGGTTCATACAAACTTCACACTCGACACTGAGCTTCCTCTGGTCCTCAGCAACACACCTGACATGACAGAGTTGAGTCTCACACACAAGTCACAGCTCCTCACGGTCACAAACACCAATCGAATACACTGTCGTGGTTCAGGAGAAGACACGAGGGGCAGACTTGTTGTTAGGTGGGCCTGGGACTCCAACCAAAAGGGCCCCAAACAGCTTTGGATGTATTATCATGTGTAGATATGAAAAAAGTATTGAATGATGTTAGTATTCTAACCTTTTGTACCCTGAAATAACTTTAAAAATGCTAGAGATGTTCCAATACTATTCCCCCCCCCCCCCCCTACATGAACTTGCATTTCAGCCGATACTGAGTACCGATCTACCAGTGCATTAACAAAACAAAACAATTTATATACGATATTGTTTGTAGACGTGCATTGAAACTTTGCAGGAGCAGAGCTTGCACCGCTTGCCAGTGTCACACTTGGCCCAGGCAGCTGATCACTTTAGCACTGCCTTCCTGTGTTGATGGCGGTGATGTGGGAGGAACGGTCCAATGCACACGGAAGGTTGATATTAGCATTTTTATCATCTATATTGGGGGGGGGCAATTATTTCCCCCAAGGGGCCACATGAGAAACAGTGGCCGTTGTGGAGGACCAACAGACTGAACTGGGTCCTGCTCTTTATTATTCCACCTCTTTATGAAAAGTACATAGTATGTTTTGATGAGCTGTGAGAGTAAATATTATGATCAGTGGTGGAATGTAACTAAGTATATATTCTGAAGTACTGTACTTATGTACAAATTCAAGGTACTTTACTTTTATTCAACTTTGTACTTCCACTACATCTCAGAGGAGATATTTGTACTCTTTACTCCACTACATGTGTCTGCCAGCTTTAGTTACTAGTTACTTTGCACAACATCATATTTCAAACCTTCCCAACTACCCAAACTAAACAGAGTTAAAAATAATAAATATCAAAATTAAAATAAGCTCCACCTAAAACATCTGCAGTAGGAATGATGATCCAAACAAATATACATTTGTAATATAACACATATAATAGTAGAACACTGACAGGGATCACGTTTCTGATACATGAGTACTTTTATCACTGTTCTTTGTAGTCCAATGACCTCATCTTCTGTTTCTCCGTTGGGTGGAGAGATCTAGTTTGTGTTGGGCTTGAACCAGTGACTGAAGTCAGGTTGAATGTGTGAGGTGAGATGTGAAGGACAGCTGACCAGTGATGTCAGTGAGAGAGGATCTGGATCTGTTGAACTTCATCACTTGTTCACATATGTAGGGAGACCCAAAGAGTTAGTGTTAGTATTTCTCCGAGGGTTTCGTCTCGTAATGCAGATTCAAACACTGCGATCTGTTCTCCACAAACTAAACACACGGCTTTACCTTTGACTTCAGTAAATAAATACTTAGAAGTCTGTGTTGTGTTAAAAACTCTACACTCTGTATCAGTCTTTCTTTCTTTAACATTGGCTGACATGTTTTAAGGGGTTAACTCCTGTCTCCCGTAAGATCAGTTCACCAACACAAGCTGCTGCTCGCACACATTCACCAACGTACTCACAGACATACACTGAGAAGAAAAGACAAAAGATATTGCTGTGAAAGCATCTTCAAACAACTGGAATTATTCTGGTTTCTCACTTAAACTACATTTTGCAAGATCACATTTGAACGCATGATGAAGTTATGATTCACCTTTGCACACCACTCACCTTCACTGAACCGTAATGTAACTCACTGCTACCTCCAGTAACAGCTGTTCGCTCCGTTATCGAGCTCTGCAGGACGACTTCTGATGTTAACCAGCTGTCCTGATATATATTGTCAAAATAATATAACAATATTGCTTAGTTTTATCATAATGTGGAAAAACCAGCGACCAAACTGTGTTACAATACAAAACAATTCTGTACATTTATATCATGCATTTATTTGTTATGCATTGTTATCTGGGACCGCAAGTGTTTGCTTGTCCATCTCCAGGGCTGGACCATCAGGGAGTGTTAGCAGCCTCCATGTTGCATGCATTGTCGTAGACACAACAAAACAGACCAAGTGAGGAACTCAACATACACATTAAACATCAAACCTTTTCTTGAATATTGACCCAGCATAAACACGCATGTCCTGATGGTAAAGTAAATAAACAAAGTAACTAAAATAAAGCATATTGGGGAGAAATGTACAATGACAGAGAATGCTTACTTAGCTAATTAAGCACAATCTACTCCAACACATATTATTGCTGGCCATTCATAACCCAAATATGTACTAAGGGGGGAACACTCAATTACAAACTCATCTCGGGTTCCTTGCAATCCATTGGCTAACCTTTCATAGCGAAGAATTGATAATAATTGATCATACCACGTTGACATCGTAGGTAGAGTTTCATCTAACCAAACATGTAGGATTGAGAAGCCTGCAGTATAAAACATGATATTTTGCAATTTGTCTTTTGACCGGAAAAGGAGCGAACACCAGACATTCAGTTTTGGAAGCATGACAGTTTAACACCAATACATGTTTCAATCTCTGCTGGAACAGAGGACCAGTATATTGTGATCCATGGACATGACCGCAGTAGATGAAAATAAGTTCCAGTTAGTTTTTGGCACTTCACTGCACACTAACACAGGGCAACAACCACCATGCAGGAGTCAGGACACCATAGATATCGTAGCTTCTTCAATTGTTAGTCATGAAACCACCGTAATACTCAGGTAATGACAGCACCATTAAAGGTATTGAATTACCAATCAGACAGAACGGTGGCAAGAGTAGCTGTTGTGTTACCCAGGTCCCAGTATACAGCGGCGCATCAGCAGAGCAGAGTGTTTAGCTGTCACTGACTTCTCTGAGGTGCAAAGTCTGTTATTAGAAAGCACAAAAGAATATAGTTGTTAGCTGTGCTGTACCTCACATGATCAAAGCACCACAGGAAGCTCTACATGCATTGTTCTGTTCAGAGCTTAACAGCAGCACGAGACATCGAAATTCATTCAATCTGAGTGATGAGACCCGGTTGTGTGTTTGGGCCAAAAAACAAAGCCAGCTCATTTTTAACAATAGAACTTCTGCAGGAGCTAAATAGAAGTTATTCTCCATCTTCCTCTTGTGTGTCTACAGAGATGGAAGCAGCTGTCCAGGCTGCAGCGGAGCCTCATCCTCGTCGTCCTGTTTGTCTGTGGCATTGCTTCTTATCCTGCTGTGACTGAGCACCTCAGAGGTAAGGCTCCTCCACTAAACACCTCCCACGGTCTCCACACGACTATGCTCATTCATGGTCCTGATCGGTTCGCTTCTTCATCCACATCTGTATCATTTCGTTGTCATTACTAAACAATTTTAAATTGCCAATATGGTGAATAATATCCCCAATAAGAAACATAATATCCCTGACATCCCAACACTGTGTGAGGTTTATAAAGGAGTATCTGTCATTAGCCTGATCCACTGGCTCTCAGGGCTTGTCTAGTAGCTGGAGTTATTGAGTCCCAACAGAAGAGAAGAGTCTTTGTTGAAGGTGCATATTGAACATTTCTCACTTCGTGGGGTTCAGTAATCATCAGGCCAGCCTGCCCCACTGTGGTTATTGCCCCACTGTAATACTTTGATCCTCAACCTTTCTGTCTGTGTTTTGAGGACTTTCAGATGGAGTCCAGGACCGTGACAGCCTCCTGATGCCAGTTACCCCTCTTGTGCTGCCTGAGCCTGTCCAACAGGGCCAACCACCACTGCCACAACCAACCTCCCAGGTACTACTCCTCCCTTTAGGGTCTTTGAAGGGTAGCGCAGGGTTTATAAAAGGGATTGCAGCACGAAGTGTGGAACATTTTCCTTTTCTCATTTTATTTACAGAAGACCCAAGAGGCAAGTGAGAAAAAAGTGCATCATGTGATCAGTATTCTTTTCTCTTTTTAGGCCTTTATTCGAAAACAGCAGGTAAACAATATGTTTTGCAGGAATAATCTTTCTAAGTTCCTTATTCATCTATTCATTTGAAACAGGCAGAGAGGAAATAGTTTAGTCAGGATCATGTTGATGTTGTAATACTCACTTCGGCCACAAGAGGCTGAAGCGCACCACTACCCCATATTCTAAAACAAACTACCAACAAGGTTTAACATCAGCGCTCGTCGGTCACATGAGGAGTATGCAGCACGATTGCAGTTATGTTCCCCATGATACGTCCGCGGTGTCTGCTGAGGGCAGCCCAACCCAACACGTACCGTTAAGTGATGTTAGCCAGCACTACCAGCTTAGACAACGATAACGATAGCTAAGTCCTTCAACCGCAAAGCTGGCGGTTCGATCCCCAGCTCCTGATGTATGCATGTCAAAGTGTCCTTGAGCGAGACACCGAACCCGAGTGGCTCCTGTGGGGCTGTACTGCCTACAGTACAGGTGCTCTGAGACACAAATGCACAAGAAAGAACCATATTTCAGCAGTTTCTCACACTTGACACAACGTTATATTGAGCAATATACTTTAACTGCTTAAAAAGTTTGTTTATGTTGCCCATTTGCCACAGAGGAAATTATCCCATAAGAGAGGACCGCCCATTCTTCAGAATCGTCTTCAGAAGAAGGGAAACGCTTCAGACTCAGTGGTCGAGGACAAGGCAGCCGACAGCAAGAAAGAAGAGGAGGAGGAGGGAGCCATCAGGTGAGACCTGCTGTGTGATCACCTGACTCCACTAAAGTACGTATTTGTGTTATTATTTCTTAATCCTGGGCACCTTTCAGCTGGCGTGGGGTAGTGATCGACACGGACAAGGCCACAGAAGGCACCAGGGATGAAAGGAAGGAGAATTCACTGGGGAACCAAAGAGGAAAACCATCAAACAAGTCTGGTATGTTCTGTTTTATTCACAGCTTTCTGCGTTTAACAAAATAACAGCAGTTGTATCACAGTTTTTAGAAGGCATGACTGTGTTTGAGTGTGATCATGAAATCTAATATCCACTTTAGAATATGGATTATAATATTTCAGTCACGTTGTAGACTTGGATGGGATAATAACTGGGCACCTTGTGTGTATTGTGTTCCAGAAGCGGACTTGCTGGAGGCGGTGCAGGAAGCGTTCCTCCATTCATGGAAGGGTTATAAAGACTTTGCGTGGGGCCACGATGAGCTCAGGCCTCTCTCTAAGTCCTACAGTGAGTGGTTCGGCCTGGGTCTGACGCTGATCGATGCCCTGGACACCATGTGGATCCTGGGGCTTAAAAAAGGTAGACTGACCTTTGGGACTTTGACCTTTTACCTCTTGACTAGGTAGTTGCTGTAAAACAGTGGTTCTCAACTGTTTTGGGGTCTCTGCTATCCATTATCCAGGTCCTGTACTAGCCCCCATCAATTTGAATGTTTGAAGTAACAGATTTGATACAAAAATGTGCTGGAAATACAGAGAATATGAAATTATTTCAAATTATATTGGTTCATTAAGAGATGGCACTGTATTTATTTTCTATTGTTTTTCAGAATTTGAAGAAGCAAAGTCATGGGTGGCCACAGAGCTCACATTTAACAAGAATGTCGACGTCAACCTATTCGAAAGCACCATCCGCATCCTGGGAGGCCTCCTGAGTACCTACCATCTGACCGGAGACACCCTGTTCCTAGACAAAGCTGTGAGTCAACACACGAGCACTGGTTTCTCAACTGCAAGCGTATTTTAAGCTCACTGAAGAATGCAGATAGCAGCACCCTCTCATGTGCACAGATGTACCTCACAAATGCTTTAGCATGTCGCTCATCTCAGAGTCCTTCCATCCACCTGTAGACGTTACCCAGACTGTCCAATAGAAACAAATGGTCTACATTCACATCTAAGCTGTGTTTGGCGTCCCCACCAAACACCACATGTGTTCTATTTATCCTCTATTATAAACCCAGTTGCTTCCAATACCTGTTGTTTCTGACTCTGCTGATGTGGTAGAGGTGACGGAAGGCAACTTTTCTGTTAGTGTTTTACTCATTTCACGACTGTAACTCATCTCCTGTTGGGCTTTCAATGATTTATAGCATATTAGCCTCTAAAGTGGACTGGGGAGCATGCAGTGTGAAATGGTCTTATTGGTTTACTTAATTTTTAACATTGTGTAGAAATGAAAGAATTTTTTTTTTATGTAGAAAAAATACTGCAAGAAATGTTTATTTTCATTATCAATGAATCTGCTGTTTATTTTCTTGATTAGTTTATGAAAATGACGTGGTGACGTCTTCAGATTTGTTCTTTTGATTTGTTCGTATTGGGTCAGAAACCCAAAGGTAGTAAGTCGCCTCATATAAGACACTGAATCTCCACATTTGATTGAAGAAAACAATTTTAACACTTATTGGAACTGTTGAAGATTAATGTTCTGTTAATTAAGCAAGAGATTCATTGACAAATGGTTTCATCTGCAAAAGATGCTACATGTAGCATCTTTTGTAACATTGAACTGATATTGGTTTGGCATTACTGTCCTTTTATTACAAACATTCACTTGAACAAACTACATGCACAAGTTAAAGATTTGCACCACCATGATATTCTAAAGATCTAATTTCAAGGTTCATTTATTCAGTCAGTCATGGTACACTTTCATTTGTGATTATTGATTGCCTTTGAGCTGCAAGTGTCTGCATGTAATCTGCGTTCTTCCTCTACAGAAGGACATCGGCTCCAGGCTGATGCCAGCCTTCAATACTCCATCCAAGATCCCCTACTCTGATGTGAACATCGGGAAAGGTACGGCCCACCCTCCTCGCTGGACCTCAGATAGCACCGTGGCCGAGGTAACGAGCATCCAGCTGGAGTTCAGAGAGCTCAGCCGCCTCACCCAGGAACCACAGTACCAGGTAAGGGGCCATGACATGAAACAAGTTGATCCAGGGTCTTCCCAGAAAGAGATGCACTTAGGCTCAGCTTTCCATTTGTAATTTTACTGATCCAACTTGGTGTCAGTAGGTGTCTCCAATGAGACGAGACACCAAATATGAGGCAGGTGGAAATGAAAGAGTAACTGCACACTTACAACGGCGTCTGGGTCCGGTGAGGGTACCTCACTGACAGAACTTTTAATGTCTCTGTGGGGGATTTTGTGTCTGTCACCTCTCCACTGTCTTGTGGTGTACCGCAGGGCTCGGTTCTGGGGCCTCTGTTATTTTCCCTTTACTCGTTACCTTTGGGACCGATTATAAAAAGTTACAATGTGTCCTATCATTTATATGCAGATGACATACAACTCCATCTGTCATTCAAACCCAGCGAGGCCTTCACATTAACTAGGCTGCTGGACTGTGTCAATGTGTCAGTGAAAGCCGCTGCCGAGTTTTGAGTTGTCATCAAACAACCAAATGTAATCTTCACCGAGTGGACTTATTGTAACTTTAAGGCTGTGTTACACACACTTATGCTACACTTATTGAAAGCAGAACTGAGTTGTGGTCTGTGTTTTTGCAGTGCTTGGTTTTGGTGACGTATATTTCATTGCTACTGGGTGTTTGCTTTATTGTTCTTTATGGTTTGACTGAACTATTTTCTTTCTATTTTATGATTATTATTCGACAGACGTGACCCTGACTGGCACCCCTCTTAACTTAAAAGGGTCAAATCCACTTCAAGCTTTGGTCGACAATACAGAATAATAGAACTCCTGCACAGTCTTCTTCACCTGCTTTTTATTAATATCAGTAGACCTTCATCAGGTTTCTTTTAAAGACTGGAGAGCACATCCTCAATAGGTTAGTAGACCCACGTGGACCAATCAAGTCCTACTACAAAATGACATCACTCAATCGATCAAGTATCATAAATATATCACACATAAGCCTACGATATGATAGAAAGCAAGTTCTATATTAAACACCCTGGTGTACCGTAATACATACGTAAGCCTGCTGTGAAGTTATTTGGAGTCACTTAATGAATGTCAGAAAAAGCCCCTCATCTCACCTCTGGTCCTGATTTTCCAGGCTGCGGTTGCTGAGGTTATGAACCAGGTCCACAAGATGGACGGCAAGCTGGATGGTCTTGTGCCCATGTTCATCAACACCAACAACGGACAGTTCACCCATCAAGGCATCTACACAATGGGAGCCAGAGCAGACAGCTACTATGAATACCTGCTGAAGCAGTGGATCCAGGGAGGCAAGACAGAGAACCAGTGAGTCGGACTAAAGACACTCTGTGCTCCCTTTCCCATGAATGAATGTGACCATTTGAAAGGTAATACCTTAAAGGGCCTTGCAATGGTTAGCCTGAAGTCTTATTTGATCCATCTTATTGTCCTGCGACTGGATATTAGCCAGGAGGAGGCTGGGTGGTGGAGTGGCTGTAGGACCTTGCTGGGTTAGCTTAGCTTATATCTCGTGTGGTTGGAAGATGTTGTGGGCAGCGATCGTCTCAAGGTTGCTGCACTTAATACAATCATCACGCTTGTCTTTCCGATGTTTAAGAGCGTATTTCTGTCGTATACTATACGTGCTCCAGCAACAAAGGTAAAAATATTCAAACAACAATGTGGGAGAGGGGACACTGATACATCATCGGATCAACAGAACGCCTGCCTCTGGAACCGACTGAAGCATCTGCTGCTGGTGGAGTTGTAACACATGTCAAACTGTGCAATGCAGCAGATGAACCGACAGTCAGGGCCAGAAGTATTTGGACTGTGACACAATTTTTCTAATTTTGCCTCTTACACAACCCCAGTGGGTTTGAAACTAATCATTCAATATGTGGATGAAGTGAAGACTTTCAGCTTTAATTCAATGGATACAACTAAAACATCACAATGACCGTTTATGAATTACAGCCACTTCTACACAGTCATCGCATGTTCAGAGGCTCAAAGGTAATTGGACAAACTAACATAATTGTGAATATAATCATTATTTTTAATACTTGGATGAAAATCCTTTGCAGTCAATGACTGCCTGAAGTCTGGCTCCATAAACATCACTAAACACTGAGTTTCCTCCCTTGAGATGCTTTGACAGACCTTTCACTGCAGCCTCCTTCAGCTGCTGCTGTTTGTGGTTCTTTCTGCTTCAGTTTTATCTTAAGTGAGTGAAAAGCTGCTCACTTGGGTTGAGATCAGGTGTCTGACTTGGCCATTGAAGAATATTCCATTCCTTTGCCATAAGAAGCTCTTGTGTTGTGTTCACAGTATGTTTTAGGTCGTTATCCATCTGCACTGTGAGGCGCCGTCCAATCAGTTTTGCAGCATTAGGCTGAATTTGAGCAGATGGTTTAAACACCTCAGAACTCATCCTGCTGCTTCTATCAGCTGTGACATCACCAATGAACACCAGTGACCCAGTTCCATTGGCAGCCAGACATGCCCATCCAAAGCACTGCCTCCGCCATGTTAGACAGATGATGTGGTTTGTTTGGATCATGAGCCGATCCTTTCCTTCTCCACACTTCTCTCTTCCATCATTCTGGTACAAGTTCATCTTGGTTTCATCTGTCCAAAGAATCTTGTTCCCAAACTGGTCAGTCTTTGTCAGATGTTTTCTGTTAAAGTCTAATCTGGCCTTCCTGTTCTTCAGTGTTACCAGAGGTTTGCACCTTGTTGTAAACCCTCTGTATCTAGATTCATGAAGGCGTCTCTTGATTGTAGACTTCAACAATGGCACGCCTACCTCCTCCAGAGTGTTCTTGACTTCAGTAGATGTTATGAAGGGTTTTTCTTCACTAAGGTACACCAATTTTTTTAACCTAACAGTGGCCTCCTTCACTTGCATTGATTGACACCTTTTTGGTCCGCATGCTGAGAGTTCCAAGGACCAGCTATCAACTGCAAATATAACACTTTGAATCCTATTGTCTGCATCATTTGTCATGAAATAGAGACAGAACAGGCCACACCTGGCCATGAAACCGTTTATCAGACAATTGTCCAATTACTTTTGAGCCTCTGAACATGGGGGCGACTGTGTAAAAGTGGCTGTAATTCATAAACGGTCATTGTGATATTTTAGTTTTAGACATTGAATTAAAGCTGAAAGTATAAACTTCAACCACATGTTGACTGATTAGTTTCAAACCCATTGGAGTTGTGTAAATAAGCAAAATTTGAAAAATTGTGTCATAGTCCAAATACTTCTGTCCCTGCCTGTACATGTGTGACAAGCCATCCTGACTTCAACGCTCTCTTGTCGGTACACAGTGAAGGTGATGAGGTTGTTCAGCCCTCCAAGCTGGAATGTTTCTGTCAGAACCGTGGTGTGTCTAATCGGACCTACTCGTAGGTCAGTCACATGGTTCTAATGTACAGTATACGGTCACTGTGGAAATTAGATTGATTGACGAGGTAAATAATTACCATACATTAAAGAAGTGGTTTGGGGGTTGAAGCACTCAATTTAATTTAAAAAATGTAAAAATATATAATATATAAGCTTAAGAGCTGTCCCACTTGCCATGTAGTGGTGGTACTGTGATTTTATTGGAGCCCCAGGGTGAAGTAAACCGCCTCATCAGGATGCTGTATGGAGCAGTTACAACGCACAGTCCGGTCACTACAGGGCGTCTTGTTCTTCTGTGGGCTGGGTGACCTACAATGGTGACTCAGATCTGTCTGAGAGTGCCTACTGTGTTGGGTATCAGCCTCCCTTGTCAACAGCACCAGTCTGGTAGTGGATCGGCTCTTATCCTGACCTTATTCAGTGGGTCTGGTATCAGCCAGACATGACCTAGCCATATTCACTCCACAAGAAACTCAAAGTTATGAGTTTGTAGCTTAATATGTGTTGATGTTTTATGTATGCTGTCTTGCCAACGGCCCATAACGTTTCACAAATTTCTGTAAATTGCTTCTACGTCGTTTCTAACCTTTTAATGTTCTTTAAATACTGGTTCAGAGGCTGATCACAGAGGAAACCAGGTCCAAATAGGTATCACTGCTCGTCCTGGGTGTCTCCTTTGATGTATGGTTGTGTGTCATTAGTGATGACAGGGCGTGACTTCTTGATTGTCTCACAGCCTGAGCAAAGAAGCTGTTGTATAGCTGCAATATCACTGATGCTCAGTAGATGGGTGCCAATGATGTTCTGTGCGGTTTAATCACAACCTGCAGAGTCTCTTGTCCTGGACTGTGCACATCCCATTTAGTAATGTTTCCAGTCAGGATACTTTCTATTGTTCCTCTGTAAAAGTGAACAAGAACGTAGCATGGGAACTTTGCATTCTTAAGGTTCCTTAAATTGGCCGTATCATGCCTAGTTTCAGGTTCATCTTTGTATTTTGGGTTTCTACTAGAACATGTTTAAATGCTTTAATGTTAAAAGATGCATTACATTTAGGTGAAGGCTGAGTGGAGGACAGGTGCAGCCCTACGAGATGTGTTTGATTTAAAATGGACCAATATTAGACTTCTTATAAAGACACTACATCAGAGAGTGTCACATGTAGAGATAGACGTCTGTATTCTATTCTTTCAGCACTTGCAGCATTTGGTTACTCTGGCTGTCAGTGGGACTGATGAGAGATTACTAAAGTGGAACAGCAATCCCCTCCACACAGTCAGCAGCACAGGCTCAGATTAAGCTGCTTTCAATGTCTGCGTTATCTGCTGGAATTGTTTTCTGTGTCACTTCTGGGTTTCTGACCTATATTAGTACATTGGATTCAAAATGTCAGTCAAAGGAGGATTTAATAATGTACTCATTCTTTAGGGAATATATTTGATGGTCAAGCTTCAGGCAATAAATATTACTTAAACAATAATCTGCTTCATATCGGTTCTGGGGGGGAAAAACTCTTTATTGTATATTACATAGGAAACTACTGACCTCCTCACAGGGTGTGAACTCTGGATGCATTCACAGCCTGTGTTCCTCCATCCATCTGGAGCCCTGGGGCCTCACCCATCACTCTCGATGTAGTACTCTGGTTTGGGATGGGCTCCACACACAGCCCGCCGTCTTCAGGCTTGTTACAATGTGTCGATAATAAAGACAACGTGTTCAGCCCACTAAACTTCTCATGTTGCTAGGGGGACAAAATTCAGGAGACCGTATGAACTTTTTGTCTTAAGCAATCCAAAATAGGCTCCAGATGCTCACTGAAGTTTCCAAGGGCCGGCGCTACTGCAGTGCTCTCCACTAGGGGGCATGAATAGATCTCAGGTCTGTCTTAAATTCAAGTTACTTACATACAAAACTCATATCTAAAGGGATTCCCTTGATGTAAAATTGTAGTTTAGTTGTTCCTTCTTAGTTGATGTACAGTTAATGTCATGAAGGTGGATGGAGAAGTGTGAAGGCTATGATCTACTAAATCATAACTTTCACCACTTCTCTCTAAATACATAGTTTTAGCTTCAAACTGTAGGAAGATGTGTGCTCTTTGTAGCTATGGAAGTAAAGACTTCCTCTACTGTAATGGCTCTCCTAGTTGTCACGATATCGGGAGTTCTGGTGTTTGAGCGAGGAGCAGGAGTACGAGAGGTGTGCCTCAGCATAATCGCTGTGAAGTTTACTCTCTGAACCAGGAGGCACATAGCAGTTACCATTACCAACCTTTACATTGCTACGGCCACACTAATACGTTCTCATTTAAAACTAAAACGATCTCCGTCGTCGCGGGCGTTTCAGCATCGTTTTCTAAATGATCTCCATCCAGACTAACGAGCCTGAAAACGGATATCACGTGACTCTTCCCGTACACTGGGTGTGCGGATGGGTGCCGGTGTAAACAGGAAGTAGATTGAGTAATAAAGTAGTCTTTAATAATGAAAGGTGTAATGGGAAAATATGTCATAGTCTCATGTGAAGGTTTAAAGAATGTAAGTCCTAAAAGAGCAGACACCAAACTGTAGTTTCAGTAGATGACTTTAATTAGTTTAGTATCCAGGTGTCTTGTTATCTGTTATCTTGTGCACTGTTTCTTTCTTCTTCATAAGACAGAGACACAGAGAGGCCTTGACTAACAGATCCTCTGTTTGAAATACTTTTAACTTCCTTTGTGACGCATTATCTGAAGTTGTAAAGGCGTAAACCTTTGCATGCATATATGATGTGTGAGGGTAAAGAATGTCTATTCTGTCTCTGCAATGGTCATTTTAACAATGTCACAGTGGCCTCAAAGGATGCATCTGCTGTGTGTTTAAACGGTTTATTGTAAGGCAAACTGTGAACAAAGGGATTTGCAAACAGGAGATAAAGCATCTTCCTGACTGTCTTAAATGAAGTATACTAAGGCTTGAAGGATGACCTGTTTTTTATTGTGTTCTTTGTGTATTCTTGTTAGCTAAGCAGATAACAGGAAGCTGTCTGAGCATAAATGTCCATGCATTGTGACTGTTAGGTAGACCACTCTTACAGATCACTGCAATGTGTCTGTGAGACTGTTCTCTTTGCTTGCAAGCAAATAAATTGACTTTACAAACCTTGATCGTTCATCATAACTCGGTTTACTTTATATTGACAGAAAACCTTCACTTTCTTCTCCCGACTAGTCATAAGAAATATTCCACAACAAAGGTCGTGCTTGATAATATAAACTCAAATTTGGTGGAAAGTTTGAGACGTTTTATTGTTATCTCTCACACACAACAAATGTACTTTAAAATGAACCCTTACACATAAAGGTTTACTAGATTCTGGGTCCATAGATGTGGTCAACACACGTGTCTCACTTGTAGCTCTGCTGGTGGCTGAAGTCTCTGTCCTACTGGAGAGCAATCACTGCTTTTGTTCCTTTATAGTTTGTGTGGACAGAACAAAATAAACATTAATAAGGAAATCAAGTCGGCTGTTGTTGTTTGTGATCTACCGGGACAAGGGTCACGTGATAGGTGGGTGACGAATCAGGTAAGGACACGTCGTGACTGCTAACACCCAATCAGGTAGTGAATGCAGGTGTCCATGTTATCGTTTACGCCCGTCCACACTAGGAGTTAACCCCAGAGTTCTCAAACGTATCCATCTTCAGTGCTCTAGTGCGGACACTCGGTGTAAAGGTAGCAAAAGATGTGCGTTTTACAATGGAAAGGTGGTAGTGTGGACATGGCCTCAGATTAGCCACGTGGTTAACTTTGACGCACTGTCACACAAGTCCTATTAGAGTTGCGGTCTTCACTCTACTCCCTGTCAACTGTCACTCTTCATTTCACCGTCATGTTCAACACAGAATGTTGTTCCTGAAGTGTCTGTTTGTTCTTAGACTCTTGGAGGACTACCTTCAGGCAATAGAGGGTGTAAAGAAGAACCTGTTGCAGAAGTCTTCACCTAATGGCCTCACCTTTGTTGGAGAGATCTCACATGGACAGTTCAGCCCTAAAATGGTGAGTAATCCTCAAGGTTTTCCTGCTGCTCTGTAATCTCATCATAGCTGTGAACCTTCCGTTACCCTGTCAAAAGAAAATGTAACTTGAATGTTCCCTCCTGTTGAACAAGTTGGTCAGTTGTGTTGATGGTCAGCAGATACATTCATTAACTGTCTTGTTGAAAGTTTTAACTGTCCAAAAAGAGAAGTTAAAGGATAACTCGTGTGGAGTTCTGGGATGGAGGGTGGTGCCAAATGTATTTTGAATCTGTAGCCTATAAAGCCTACAAACTGCATTAGAATTCACTAGGGGTGCAACGGATCACAAACCTCACGGTTCGGTTCGGATCACGGTTCTTGAGTCACGGTTCTTGAGTCACGGTTCGGATCAACAAAGAAAAGGGGAGGAGACAAATATAACTTTGGTTTCCATTTATTAATTAAAGAACTTCAAGAACACTTAAAGCAAAGAACTTTGGGCTATAGTCTTACATGAAAACAAAGATATTGAAGATGTCCAATTTGAAACAAAATGAAATAAATAAAACATTCAAGAATACTCAATTCTGTTAAGTTTAAGTGCGACATGAGGTATATGTTGATGCCCTCGTCCTTTGATCAATATTGAAAGAAAGAAACAGCCACTGAGCTAGCTTACACTGTTTACACTGAACTGAACTGCTCGGCAACAACTTGAGTCTATGTTTACTTCCTGTCAGGTTATGTCATTCAAATACACAATAATGTTTACATTACTGTTATTTTCAAAAAGATGAGAATATCTCCATTGTCTGGGTAGAGGGGAGACCTTTCTGTAGTGATATATTACTATTGGACCTGTCTAGCTTCCACTCTGCTGCTTCTGTCAGCACCTGCCCCAGGTGTGTGTCTGTGTGACTGTCACAGAGGGGGCGTGTCTGCAGCACCTGCCCCAGGTGTGTCTGTGTGACTGTCACAGAGGGGGCGTGTCTGCAGCACCTGCACCAGGTGTGTGTCTGTGTGACTGTCACAGAGGGGGCGTGTCTGCAGCACCTGCACCAGGTGTGTGTCTGTGTGTCTGTGTGACTGTCACAGAGGGGGCGTGTCTGCAGCACCGGACTATGAATCACTCCACCGTGGTGAAAGCATTCTCTACAGTCTTTTCCTTTTCATAGAGGTCTGGAACAGCTTCACACTGAAGTGGGTGCGTGAGTGGATTTCGTAGCGTGGCTCAAGCATTTTAACCAGATTTTGAAATCCTTTGTTTTCCACAACGGAGTGTCCCCCGTCGCTGACAGACGGCTCTTCATATGTGTGGACATGCCGGATGTTGCCGTTGTCGTTTGTCTTTCTCTTTAAATAACGCCTACATACCGTAACGGTTTCGTCCACCACCCTTATCCGTCATAAGTTACAGGGAAGACAAAATGCTCCCAAACTTGCGACTTAAATGACGCCGGGGGCTTCTTAAGTTCCTCCGCTCGCCATGACTTCCACCGTTAAATGCTTCTAACCTGCTCCGTTCACGTGAGCACACTACTGCTTTATATCTGTACACTCTGCATTGATATTCAGGGACTTGTCACTTGAAAAGGAACAGCAGCAGTAAAACTTTATTACACACTGATGATGATTACACTGTTAAAAAAAAGAAAAAAAATACTCAATTGATCCGCGGTTCACGAGTGATCCGAACCGTGAGGGCTGATCCAAACGGATCACGGATCGATCTGTGATCCATTACACCACTAGAAGTCACATCAGCATTCAATATGAAATCCATTAACACAACCACATTCACCACATAAACACAAAAACATCCCACTACCGTCAAGTAAAATCAATACCAAAGCAAGTAATCAGGACAAAGAAATCCAAACCACAGGTAGGTGTGAACTGACTGCCTTGCTGGCGTCACCTACTGATGTTAGTCTGCATAAGTCTAGAGCCAGTGAGCTGGTATCAGACGGCTGGCTCACAAGGTGATGGACAATGAGGTGAGTGATCAAAACAAAAGCTGTCGGACAACTCCAAGAAAGTTGACACAGTTGACAGTTGAAAGTCATTGCCTTGACACCCTGCCCAGTCTGACGAGGTTCCTCTTCTCCTGCCCACTGTGTAAACTCCTCAGGACTGATGTGTGTAGATAGAGATCCATCCACTTCATTTGGTTTTAGTGTAGTGTCTCACAACCTGCCATTTAGGGTCATAATGTACTAAATGAACATCATGCTGTATTGAAGAAGACTTGAAACTAGAGATTGAGACCATAAACTCATGTTTACAATGTTTACTGAGGTAATAAATCAAGAGAGAAGTAGAGTCATTTTCTCATAGACTTCTATACAACCAGAGGAGTCGCCCCCTGGTGGACACTAGAGAGAATGCAGCTTTAACACATGAAGCTTTGGCTTCACCTGGCAGAAGCAGAGGTTGCCACCTCACGGTAGTGGACTGTATCTGTCTTTGTAACTTTTGGACACTGGGCTTTTTCAGGACCATCTGGTGTGTTTTCTGCCGGGCACTCTGGCTCTCGGCGCCCACAACGGCCTGCCTGCTGATCACATGGATCTAGCCAAAGAGCTGATGGAGACCTGCTACCAGATGTACATCCAGATGGAGACGGGCCTCAGTCCAGAGATCGTCCACTTCAACATGCATGAGGGCAGCACCCGAGACATCGACGTAAAGGTAGGTAGAGACGGTGTGGAGACAGACACTGTCCTCCCAGTTCTGCAGTAGTGTCTTTGGCAAACAGTCAGAATCTTGTTCCCACAAACACATGTTTAGTTATTCTGGGTAAGGGCATTGTCTAGATGCCTGCTGAAGAAAATAAATGACCCAGCCTTCCCACTGATCACATGATGCCTGAGGATGTTGGGGAAAGTGTTCTTTAAACTGATTTCCTGCATTTCTACTAATGTGACGGTAAACTTTAAAATGCTTTGCTTTACTGTTTGTGTCCCTTTTGTATTCACTGTGATGATAGCTCGCAGACAGACACAACCTCCTACGACCGGAGACAGTGGAGAGTCTCTTCTACCTGTACAGGTTCACCAGGGACCACAAGTACCAGGACTGGGGCTGGGAGATTCTCCAGAGCTTCAACAAGTACACCAAGGTCAGTACAATGAAGTGAAGATCTGTCATATGAGCTGTCTGGAAACCCTTCACATGATACGGGTTGGTAACATCTGTTGTCATTAGTTCATGTCACTCAGCCACATTCAGCTGACTTTGCAAGATCACACGCAAGTCCACCGTCAGGCTTCAAGTACTGTTTGTGTCCTCTGAGAACCCTCAGTATGGTGTGGGCTGGTGACGTTAAAGTGTCCTCTACAGCAGGGACAGCTTTGGACACCACCACCACATGTTGAAAGCACTCTCAGGTGAGGTGAGGTTGGTGGCCGTGTGTCTGTTGTGCAGCAGAGGCCTGTGATGGGTGGAGGCCATGACTCCTGTCCCTGAGCTCCAGCTCTAGCAGCTCAGGGGCAGAAGGATGGAGGAGACCAGGGGAGACAATGAAGCTTTAAGAACTCAAGTGGAGCGGTTCAAATAGAAAAGGACCACTGTAGTGACAGCTCCAACTTAAAGGCTGGATATCAAATGCAATTTACAGGGACTTGCTGTGAAGACTGACCTTTGGGTTCAGGATGTTTTTGTTACTAAAGTTTAGGATTTAAGGAAAAGAGACGGTTTGAACCCATGGCATGTGGTGTGGTTCAGCCAGGTTGTGTCTTTAAGACGCAGGTTGTGTTGAGGTGCAGAACCAACACGGGACAAAAGACCAGCAGTGCATTTCAACCATCATGTTTTTACTGCTTCTATTCAACTACACATTCACAGTCAGCAGTCTCACTTTATACTGTGTTGCTGTTATTCTGGATTATGACTTTAACTTCTTTTTGTATGATATTTGAATGATTCATGAAGCGAGCTCTGATTGGTCAGTAGGCAGAGCTTTTATACCACCATCACCTGTTCACCATCAGTTAACATGGTGATCTACCAGGTCAGGAGTAAACCTCTGAGGTAGGGTTGAACCTAGTTAATCCTGAAGGAACCTAATCCTGCTTCCTAGTGCAGACTAGGTCTGCGCCAGTGTCTTCTTATCACACGTACTAGACAAGTCTTCTTAAAAACAAGGGACTTCAAGACTTGAGGAGCGACTCGTCTCTAATGTGTTTTCTCACGATGTCATTTCTTTTTATTCCCATCACATCGTCGGGGTCGATACACAAACCCTAATGGTAGTTCGGATCTACATGCAGTGACTGGCTTGTGTGAATGTGTTTCCCTCAGGTCTCCTCTGGTGGCTACACCTCCATTAATAATGTCCGTGACCCGGACTACCCGAGCCCCCGAGACAAGATGGAGAGCTTCTTCCTGGGAGAGACCCTGAAATATCTGTACCTGCTCTTCTCTGACGATCCCGACCTCATCAGCCTGGACCAGTACGTCTTCAACACGGAGGCTCATCCTCTGCCTATATGGCCCTCTGCTGCATGACACACGTACGCACAGGGATCCAAATGGCAGATAACAGTACACGTACAATCACAGCAAACATCTCAGGGTTGGTCTAACACAGAGATAACTCTTCTGTCTCTGTGACTGGAAGCTGTTAAAACAACACCCCTGAAAGCAGACCCCAGCTGGAAGAAGCCTCAGTTTTACTGATCCACTCAAGATGAACGACGAGAGCCCGGTTCACTTTGTGGCTTTGTTTGTTGTTGTTCATTTGACTGCTTGTTCTGGATGCTTGGACTCTGGAAGAGAGGCAGAGGAATCAAAGAACAACCTGATTGTGACTTGAATCAAAATGTCTTAATCTCGTGATGAGGAGAGGTTTGCCAGTGGATGATCTAAGAGCTCCTGATTTAGGCTCCAGCTGTGCACATTCATTCCCAGCCGTTGTAGAACAAAGCCAACATGTGGAGGCACAGCAGGCCTTTGTAGCAACCCGTTCCCGGGGAGCCTGCTGCCCAGCTGACACCTTCTGTTCATGGCTGTGTCGAACACACCTTCAGTGCTCTGGCTACAACCATTCTTTAGACATGAAGCAGAGCCTCCTGACGGGGCTTCAGCTGCCCTAAGCCATGTTCCTACCGTCTCATGCTGCATTCATGACATCCAGGAAATGTGAACTCCCTCCATAGAAAACCCCCCTCAGCCTCTTCAGGTCAAGTACAAAACACTGCAGGGACGGCGTTGATGCTGCAACATGATGGGATGGCAGTGACGTGTATTACAGGGTTAGATGATACGATGATGACTCGACTCTTCATACTGGTAACCAGTGCTGGAGGCAGCATTCAGAAGCATCGTCGGCTAATGTATGCTAACGTCCATGACGCCACAGAACGGAGGTCTGCCACCCTACGTGATGATGTCTCAGTCAGACTTCATGAAGCTTCATTAGAACGCAGACATACTTAGTAATGCTACTCGTCCTTTTAATGTTCGAGCTGGCCTCATTTCAACTTCTTCAAATATTGGTGGGCAGATTTTATATCAATGCTTCATATTCTATTAGATGAGCGCACTGTTTTACATCTAACATCTCAAGCTGAAAAGTAACTCCTGCTGAGAAGTATAAAGTACTACTTTGTACCCTTTGAGTTGTCTACTTGCCATGTATACTGAGAGCTGTCACTTCTTTCTGGCTGCAGAAGCATTTCCAAACAGACGATAGCTGTGAACGTTCCAATAGAAGACGACCAACACTGTGATGCAGGATTCAGTCCATGTCACCGGGTACATCCCAAGTCTCTTAGTTGCATCCCCGTTATCCTCACTTGCGTCCTTTCATGCAAACAATGCGAGGAGAGAGGAAATGACATGAAGCGACGTCTGTTTCTGATCACAG